TTATTATTATTATTATTATTATTATTATTATTCCCTCACTTATCCCAGGGGTTATGTTCCAGGACCACCCGTGATAAGTGAAAAACCAAAGAGTTGGAAGAGACCTCATGGACCATCCAGTCCAACCCCATTCTGCCAAGAAGCAGGAACCTTGCATTCAAAACACCCCCGACAGATGGCCATCCAGCCTCTGTTTAAAAGCTTCCAAAGAAGAAGCCTCCACCGCACTCCGGGTCAGAGAGTTCCACTGCTGAACAGCTCTCACAGTCAGGAAGTTCTTCCTCATGTTCAGATGGAATCTCCTCTCTTGAAGTCTGAAGCCATTGTTCTGTGTCCTAGTCTCCAAAGAAGCAGAAAACAAGCTTGCTCCCTCTTCCCTGTGGCTTCCTCTCACATATTTACCGGGAACCGTCCTACCAGCCATTCTGCTTGCCGGGGGCTTCTTCTTCGACCAAGGTCGGCTTACCCACCTTACCCCAGCAGCCTTTGCAGCACTGCCCTGGGCTTCCGCAGGGCTCCATGGCTGCTGGGGCGAGGTGGGGGAAGGCAGCAGGCTCCACTCCTGGATCAACAGCAGGGATTGCAACATCAGCGATCCATACTTTGTTTTTTAACACGATTGTGAGGTAGGAGTATTGTGCTCCATTACTCTTATCTGTCTGAATTCGTGTTCCAGAGTAGTTTGACTTATTATTATTAGTAGTTTGAGTAGTTTGACTTATTATTATTATTTTACTGACACAAAACACAGTATTTCACGGCAAACGAGATAGATATGCTGGATTTCGTATCACAAAATCACAAGTCGAACACTTCCCAAACATCTAGGACTGTGTGATGTATTATTGTTATCATTATTGTTATTATTGTTGAGTTGCTGTGAGTTTTCTGGGCAAGTGTGGCCATGTTCCAGAAGCATTCTCTCCTGACATTTCGGTCACTTCTATGTCAGGCATCATAGTTTGTGCGGTCTGTTGGAAACTAGGCAGGTGAGGTTTATATATCTGTAGAATGTCCAGGGTGGGAGAAAGAACTCTTGTCTGCTTGCTTGCTTACTTACTTACTTACTTACTTACTTACTCGTTGGACGAGTAAGATGGTCTTCCATTATGGATTTCCCTGTGGGTCCGTATGTGGCTGTGGAGCCCTATTCTTGCTCTGCATCTTCTTCCGCAGTGAGGGCATTGATTTCCAGGTGAAAGGCGGTCCCGGTCGGGGTTGGCTTGACGCGTCTTCCTCCTGGCACGTTTCTCTCTTTCACCCTCCACTCGTGCCTCCTCAAATTCTGCAGCACTGCTGGTCACAGCTGTCCTCCAGCTGGAGCGCTCAAGGGCCAGGGCTTCCCAGTTCTCAGTGTCTATGCCAGAGTTTTTAAGGTTGGCTTTGAGCCCATCTTTAAATCTCTTTTCCTGTCCACCAACGTTCCGTTTTCCGTTCTTAAGTTCGGAGTAGAGCAACTGCTTTGGGAGACGGTGGTCAGGCATCCGGACAACGTGGCCGGCCCAGCGAGTTGATGTTGGAGGACCATCGCTTCAATGCTGGTGGTCTTTGCTTCTTCCAGCACGCTGACGTTTGTCCGCTTGTCTTCCCAAGAGATTTGCAGGATTTTCCGGAGGCAGCGCTGATGGAATCGTTCCAGGAGTTGCATGTGACGTCTGTAGACAGTCCACGTCTCACAGGCATAGAGCAGGGTTGGGAGGACAATAGCTTTATAGACAAGCACCTTGGTATCCCTACGGATGTCCCAGTCCTCAAACACTCTCTGCTTCATTCGGGAAAATGCTGCACTTGCAGAGCTCAGGCGGTGTTGTATTTCGGCGTCGATGTTGACTTTGGTGGAGAAGTGGCTGCCAAGGTAGCGGAAATGGTCAACATTTTCTAATGTTACACCATTAAGCTGTATCTCTGGCATTGGAGAGGGGTTGGCTGGTGACTGCTGGAACAGCACCTTGGTTTTCTCAATGTTCAGTGACAGGCCGAGCTTCTCGTATGCTTCTGCGAAGGTGTTTAGAGTGGCTTGTAGATGAGACAAGTGTGAATGTTGCAATTGGCCACCTGGATAAGAATTAAATGGTCTTTCAGCTTCAAGGCTGGCTGATTCCTGTTTGGGAGTCCTTTATTTGGAGGTGTTAGCTGGCCCTGACTGTTTCATGTCAGGAATACCCCTATTTTTTGGGTATTGCTCTTTATTTACTGTCCTGATGTTAAGAGTTTTTTAAAATACTGCTAGCCAGGTTTTGTTCATTTTCATGGTCTCCTTTCTGTTGAAATTGTCCACATGCTTCTTGTCGATTTCAGTGGCTTCTCTGTGTAGCCTGACATGGTGGTTGTTGGAGTGGTCCAGCATTTCTGTGTTCTCAAATAATATGCTGTGTCCAGGTTGGTTCATCAGGTGCTCTGCTATGGCTGACTTCCCTGGTTGTGTTAAGTCTGCAGTGCTTTTCTTGTAGACAGATTTTGTTGGTTTTCATGGTTTCTCCCTTCTTGTTCAAATTGTTCACATGCTTGTGGATTTCAACTCCAGACTCCTGGGCAGAGACCACGATAGTCCTCATACTTCAACAAGTTAGGTTAAAGGTAAAGGTTTTCCCCTGAGATTAAGTCCAGTTGTGTCCAACTCTGGGCATTGGTTCTCATCTCCATTTCTAAGCCGAAGAGCCAGCGTTGTCCATAGACACCTCCAAGGTCATGTGGCCGGCATGACTGCATGGAACACCGTTACCTTCCGGCTGGAGCGGTACCTATTGATCTACTCACATTTGCATGTTTTCGAATTGCTAGGTTGGCAGAAGCTGGGGCTAATAATGGGAGCTCACCCTGCTCTCCGGATTCGAACCTGCGACCTTTTGGCCAGCAAGTTCAACAAGTTAGAGATATGGAACAAGTGAAGAATTTCAGACCAATTTCATTAGTGAATTGCTATTACTAGTTATTGGCAGAAATATAATCAAATAGGCTGAAACAAATCTTAGTGAAAACTATTCATGGAGGCCAAGGCCCCTTACACACATTTTCTGCTTTGAACTGGAATATATAACAGTGTGGACTCAGATAACCCATGTCAAAGCAGATATCATGGGATTTTCTGCCTTGATATTCTGGGTTATATGACTGTGTGGAAGGGCCATATAACCCAGGGAGATGATGATGATGATGATTTACTGAATTTATGCCCCGCTCTTCTCAACCCCGAAGGGGACTCAGAGCGGTTTACAGATTATGGCAACATTCAATGCCTCATCATACAACAAATAATAAATATATCAAATTATAAAACACCAGGTTTTAGATATAAACATGAAAATAAAGTCTGCCTTCTTCAAAAGGCGATCTATGGGCTACGGCAGTCCGTACGGTGCTGGAACCTTTGTGTACACGAGGAACGATGCCGTCTAGGATTTAAAAGGAGTATTGCTGATGCGTGTGTCTATACGAGGGGGACTAATGATGATTGGATTGGTATTCTATTGTACGTAGATGATGTATGTGTGATTGCTAAGAATTTTAACAGAATTGCCAAAGTGCAAAAAGAACTGGAAAACAAATTTAAAATAAAAGACCTGGGTAATCGGAAAAATTGTGTAGAAATAGAAGTGGATAGGAGGGAAGATGGAAAAAAAATCTAAGTCAAAAGGCAAAAATAAAACAGTTGATTGAGAAATGTGGTCTTACAGATGCCAAAGCTGTATCTACTCCCATGATAGTAGAATATGTAAATCAGGAATCTCAAAAGTTGTTTGGAAGGTCTGACATTTACCATTCTGTAATTGGAAGTTTGATGTATATTGCCAATCATACCAGACCTGATATTAGTTATGCTGTGGGATGTCTCAGCGGAAGAGTGGCCAAACCCAGGGATATTGATTGGGTTGCATTAAAAAAAAATCAGATATCTGAAGGGTACAATCGATCATTGTTTAGTATTTGGGAACAGTGATTAAAATATTGATTGTTTTTCTGGTAGCTCATTTGCCACTGAACAAGAGTGTAAATCTGTCTCGGGTATAATTATAAGATTCGCTGGTAATATGTTAGTGTGGCGGTCCCACAAGCAAAATTGTGTAGCTCCAAGTACAACTGAGTCAGAATATGTTGCTCTGAATGAAACCATAAATGAACGTCATTGGCTGCAGCAATTGATTTTGGATGTAGGAGAACAATGCCAAACTCCTATCGTTATAAAAGAGGATTCACAAGCATGCATTGCCATGACAGAAACTGAAAACCTAAAAAACAGAACCAAATATATAGGAGTTAAATATCATATGGTTAAAGAAATGATTGATCAGAATGTGATTAAACTGGAATACTGTCCCACTGAGTCCAATGTAGCAGACATCCTGACAAAGCCTTTGCCAACTTCCAAACATGTCGAGTTAAGAGAACAAATGAATGTTATTCTTAGAGGTTAAGTTGCTGTAGTAGTTAAAACAATGTGTACATAGAAAATTACATTTAAAGAGAAGGAATTGTCAATGTGAGTTTTCATGTATGATGTATGTTTAAATGTAATTTCATGTAATAGAAATGTAGTTGTAGTAAGATTGTATTGCCAAGATGTATGTTTACACAAGAGGCTGTGAGAATGTTACTCTGAGATTCTAGCTGTGTGAGATTTCAGGGAGTAGCTATGAGATAGCTAGGCAGCTGCAGATTTATGTTCCTTTCTCACTTCCTTTCTCCTGTCTACTTCATGCCTGCTTGTTTATGATGATGGTTGTGTTTAGAACTGCTTAAGTAAAATTGAACCTGCTTTTTACCGGATGACTCCAGAGTCCATTTCTCTGAGTTTTTACAAAACTTCTGCTGACGCTAACAAAAAACACCTCTAGGGCCAAAGTTAGCTCAGTGCCTACTATAGTAAGAGAAAGGTGTTGCACAGCAAGCAGATTCTAGTCAACGTCCCATGAAAAAGACACACAGGCAAGAGGAAAAATGAACAGAAAAATCTTTACTCTTAATAGCAGAGTTGAAACATAAACTTGCAGTGTTGCAAACAAAAATCCAACAGGTTTTTCTTCAACACACACACACACACACACGGCTACGACTTACTGGAACAAAAGGCAGGCTTAGTGAAACACTTTTCAGACTCTAAACATATCAATGGTTTCTCATTGCTATGAATTTTTAGTGTCCCGTAAGACCTTCAACTGCTTCTGCCTTGTGTGAGTTGCTTGATGATGACCAAGACATGCCTTCCGACTGAAACCTTTCCCACACTCCTGGCATTTAAATGGCTTCTCCCCAGTGTGAGTTACTTGATGCTGAGTTAAGTCTGCCTTCAGACTGAAACCTTTCCCACACTCCAGACACGGAAATGCTTCTCCCCACTGTGAATTGTTTCATGGTAAGTCAGATCTATCTTCCGAAAAAAAATTTTTCCCACACTCCAGGTATTTGAATGGTTTCTCAGTGTGAATGGCTTGATGTTGAGTAAAGTATACCTTCTGAATAAAACCTTTTCCACACTCCGTGCATTGGAATGGTTTCTCCCTAGTGTGACTTGCTTGATGATAGGTGAGGTGTGCCTTCTGAATAAAGCCTTTTCCACAGTCTGGACATTTGAATGGTTTCTCCCCAGTGTGAATGACCTGATGATGGGTGAGGGATTTCTTCCAAGTTGAAACTATTTCCACACTCAAAGCATTTGAATGGTTTCTCCCCAGTGTGAAATGCTTGACGCCAGGTGAGGTCTGCCTTCTGAATAAAGCCTATTCCACACTCTGGGTATTTGATGGTTTCTCCCCAGTGTGAGTTGCTTGATGCCGAGTGAGGTCTCTCTTCCGAATAAAGCCTTTTCCACACTCTGGGCATTTGAATGGTTTCTCCCCAGTGTGAGTTGCTTGATGCCGAATGAGGTCTCTCTTCCGAATAAAGTCTTTTCCACACTCTGGGCATTTGAATGGTTTCTCCCCAGTGTGAGTTGCTTGATGCTGAGTGAGGCCTCCCTTCTGAATAAAGCCTTTTCCACACTCTGGGCATTTGAATGGTTTCTCCCCAGTGTGAGTTGCTTGATGCTGAGTGAGGTTTGCCTTCTGAATAAAGCCTTTTCCACACTCTGGGCATTTGAATGGTTTCTCCCCAGTGTGAGTTGCTTGATGCCGAGTGAGGTCTCTCTTCCGAATAAAGCCTTTTCCACACTCTGGGCATTTGAATGGTTTCTCCCCAGTGTGAATTGCTCGATGCTGAGTGAGGCCTCCCTTCTGAATAAAGCCTTTTCCACACTCTGGGCATTTGAATGGTTTCTCCCCAGTGTGAATGGCTTGATGCAGAGTGAGGCCTCCCTTCTGAATAAAGCCTTTTCCACACTCTGGGCATTTGAATGGTTTCTCCCCAGTGTGAATGGCTTGATGCAGAGTGAGGCCTCCCTTCTGAATAAAGCCTTTTCCACACTCTGGGCATTTGAATGGTTTCTCCCCAGTGTGAATTGCTCGATGCTGAGTGAGGCCTCCCTTCTGAATAAAGCCTTTTCCACACTCTGGGCATTTGAATGGTTTCTCCCCAGTGTGAGTTGCTTGATGCTGAGTGAGGTTTGCCTTCTGAATAAAGCCTTTTCCACACTCTGGACATTTGAATGGTTTCTCCCCAGTGTGATTGGCTTGATGCAGAGTGAGGCATGACTTCAGAATAAAGCCTTTTCCACACTCTGGGCATTTGAATGGTTTCTTCCCAGTGTGAGTTGCTTGACGCCGAGTGAGGTCTGCCTTCCGAATAAAGCCTTTTCTACACACTGGGCATTTGAATGGTTTCTTCCCAGTGTGAATGGCTTGATGCAGAGTGAGGCCTCCCTTCTGAATAAAGCCTTTTCCACACTCTGGGCATTTGAATGGTTTCTCCCCAGTGTGAATTGCTCGATGCTGAGTGAGGCCTCCCTTCTGAATAAAGCCTTTTCCACACTCTGGGCATTTGAATAGTTTCTCCCCAGTGTGAGTTGCTTGATGCTGAGTGAGGCCTCCCTTCTGAATAAAGCCTTTTCCACACTCTGGGCATTTGAATGGTTTCTCCCCAGTGTGAGTTGCTTGATGCTGAGTGAGGCCTCCCTTCTGAATAAAGCCTTTTCCACACTCTGGGCATTTGAATGGTTTCTCCCCAGTGTGAGTTGCTTGATGCTGAGTGAGGCCTCCCTTCTGAATAAAGCCTTTTCCACACTCTGGGCATTTGAATGGTTTCTCCCCAGTGTGAGTTGCTTGATGCTGAGTGAGGTTTGCCTTCTGAATAAAGCCTTTTCCACACTCTGGGCATCTGAATGGTTTCTCCCCAGTGTGAGTTGCTTGATGCTGAGTGAGGTTTGCCTTCAGAATTAAGCCTTTTCCACACTCTGTGAATTTGATTAGTTTCTCCCCAGTGTGAGTTGCTTGATGCTGAATGAGGTTTGCCTTCAGAATAAAGCCTTTTCCACACTCTGGGCATTTGAATGGTTTCTCCCCAGTGTGAGTTGCTTGATGCTGAATGAGGTTTGCCTTCAGAATAAAGCCTTTTCCACACTCTGGGCATTTGAATGGTTTCTCCCCAGTGTGAGTTGCTTGATGCTGAGTGAGGCTTGCCTTCCGAACAAAGCCTTTTCCACACTCTGGGCATTTGAATGGTTTCTCCCCAGTGTGAGTTGCTTGATCCCAAGTGAGGTCTGCCTTCTGAATAAAGCCTTTTCCACACTCTGGGCATTTGAATGGTTTCTCCCTAGTGTGAGTTGCTTGATGCTGAGTGAGGCTTGCCTTCTGAATAAAGCCTTTTCCACACTCCAGGCATTTGAATGGATTGTCCTCAGTGTGAGTTGCTTGATGCCGAGTGAGGTGTGACTTCCAAATAAATTCTTTTCTACACTTCGGGCATTTGAATAGTTTCCTCCCGGCGTGAGTTGTTTGATGACAAAGGAGGAAACTCTTCAAAATGAAACCCTTTCGGCATATCCAACAACGAAATGGTTTCTTCCTTGTGTGATCTGATTGGTAACGGGAGAGGAAGGCCTTTTGACTGAATCTTTTTTTCCCCTCCAAACACTTTGATGACGAGGAATTGTTTCCACAAGTGCTTCCTGGAACAAGACATCAGAAGTCAACAAGATTAGAAGAAAAGAATTCTGACTGCTTTAATATCAATATAATGTATAATATAATACAAAGAACTCTGGTTTTATGTGAGCTGACTAAGCACAAGACAGGGGGAGCCTTACCCAGAGAGGACAGGACTTCCAAATTCTCCTCCATCACCTTCTGATGAAGGGTCCTTTGGCCTGGGTCCAACAGAGCCCACTCTTCTTCTGTGAAATCCACAGCCACCTCCTCAAAAGTCACCTGGAGAACAACAAAAATATTGTTTCAGACTGCTCTAAAAATTGAACTTCTTATTGGATATCTACAGGCTCTTTGAAGTAACACATTGGATGCAAGCAAAGGGAAAGAACAAGATTTCGTGAGAACCACAGAGTGGTTAAATCGACAGCAGAACACCGCCTGCGCCTTTCTTGGCTTGCTGGAGGGCCTGCCCCCTACCTGATGTACTCCTGCAGATGCTGTTCTGAGTTCCTCTTGAGGAAGGGATGCTCTTATACTTCTACTTGCAGACCCAGTCCTTGTTCCCTCTCCTGGAAGGAAAGAAAAGAGAAGGGAAAGAGAACATTATTACCCATTCTCTCCTTTCTCCTTCAAATTCCTTCTACACTTTCCAATGTAACAAACACCATAATGTATACACAGAAAGAATTGGGAAGTCTTGGAAGAATGCAATCCTGCAGTTGTGAGGTGCACATCATGCTTCTCCTTTATAATCAGGCACAAGTTAATCAAGCAAATCTGCTCCTGAGCATGGCTTCTTAACGGAAAAATGGGACCTGAGGCAGGAATAACATTGAAAAAAAGAGGATAAGCTCCTCCTTCACCAAAAAGAAGAGCACTTCAGCAAGCTTTTTATTCAAAATCAGCAAAATGCACACATTAAATGCAAGAATTTATTATTTTTATTTATTTATTTGCTTTATTTCTATACCGCATATTTCAGCCCAGACAGGCGACTCAATGCGGTTTACATGGTACAAATTATCAACAAAGAAGGATGTCAAGGTCAGCCTTGGGTTAGTAAAAAGACCCCAACAAAATTTAAAACCTACAGACAACGAGAAGCCTTCTTCCAAAATGACGCTGTGTCACTCTATCCTTTCATAACCCTCCATTTTCTTATGATTTCCATTTTTAGTGGTCAACATTTTAAATCTCTACATTTTCTCATCTGCAATGGGAGCTGATGAGATTCCTACTTTCTCTTAGTTTTGCTGGTCATACATGCTCAGAAGCGGGAGCTAGTGGCAGCTGAATTTACATTGCCTTGTTGTAGGCAGGCACACACCACGGCAATAGGATGGACTAGGAGAGAATCCTCCTCATTCCCACATGAACCTTTATTGCATTGTTTTCTGCCAATATACTATTTATTTATTTATCGTGTCAGGCAACCAAACAGTTGTAGTACATTTTTAACAGAACAAGCAAACAAACATACAAAACACAAAGTTTGCAAGCTTGGTAGTTGATTAAATGTCCTTTGACCAGTATCTGGCCACTTGGAGTGCCTCTGGTGTTGCCGCAAGGAGGTCCTCCATTGTGCATGTGGCAGGGCTCAGGTTGCATTGCAGCAGGTGGTCAGTAGTTTTCTCTTCTCCACTCTCGCATGTTGTGGATTCCACTTTGTGGCCCCATTTCTTAAGATTGGCTCTGCATCTCGTGGTGCCAGAGCGCAGTCTGTTCAGCGCCTTCCAAGTCGCCCAGTCTTCTGTGTGCCCAGGGGGGGAGTCTCTCATCTGGTATCAGCCATTGGTTGAGAGTCTGGGTTTGAGCTTGTCAGTTTTGGACTCTTGCTTGCTGAGGTGCTCCAGCGAGTGTCTCTGTAGATCTTAGAAAATAATTTCTTGACGTGCTGGCTGATATCCAAACAGAGGATGGGCCGGAGATGTCACTGCCTTGGTCCTTTCACTATTGGCTGCTACTTCCCGGCGGATGTCAGGTGGTGCAATACTAGCTAAACAGTGTAATTTCTCCAGTGGTGTAGGGCGCAGACACCCCGTGATAATGCGGCATGTCTTAAAAGCCACATCCACTGTTTTAGTGTGGTGAGATGTGTTCCACACTGGGCATGCATACTCAGCAGCAGAGTAGCATAGAGAAGGGCAGATGTCCTCACTGTGTCGGGTTGTGATCCCCAGACTGTGCCAGTCTGCTTTCGTATGATATTGTTTCTAGCGCCCACTTTTTGCTTGATATTCAGGCAATGCTTCTTGTAGGTCAGAGCACGGTCCAGAGTGACTCCCAGGTATTTGGGTGTGCTGCAATGCTCCAGTGGGATTCCTTCCCAGGTGATCCTCAGAGCTTGGGGTGCTTGTCTGTTCTTAAGGTGAAAGGCACATGTCTATTTTTTAGTTGGATTAGGGATCAGTTGGTTTTCCCTGTAGTAGGCAGTAAGAGCACCTAGAGCTTTGGAGAGCTTCTGTTCAACCATCTCAAAGTTCCCTGCTTGAGCAGTATATACTATTATATATAATATACTATTATATTTAGTGTGTGTGTGTGTGTATATATATATATATATATATATATACACACACACACACACACACACACACACACACACACACACACTATTATATACAGTATATAACATACTATTATACCCTGATACTAAGAGTTGTATTCCTTCCGTCCTTTTTTTTATCAGTGAAAATGTTACAAGGGAAAAATCCAGCTACACAGAAGCTAAGAAAGAAAAAGCAGATTTTCTGTTAGGAGACTTTCTTAGCTGAAGTATGCCTACAGCATCCCAGTACTGTTTAGGCAGCATGATCTTGTTAACGTGCTATGATTCAAACAACCCAGATATATTCAGGCAGACTTGAATGGAGAAGGCCAAGGAGAAAACTTAGGACGGCACTTACTCATTGAGGGAGACTTTCCTTCGCTGTCCTCCATCATCCACCTTGGCTGCTGCCTTTGACTGGATTCATAAAAACACTGACCTGCCTCAGGGATCCGTTCCAGACACAAATCCTGCAGCAGAAGCAGAAACAAGGGAAGGAAATGAAGGGGAGAATTGGGAAAAGAAAAGGCTTCAGGAGTGGTTGGGGAGTGGGAGGTGGGATATGTTGAACACTTACATCTTCTGAATGAAGAGGATTGTATTCATTTGCTTCTCATGTTTTTAATGGCTAAAATATAACCTTTCTACAGACTTGAAACAATTACAACACAGAGATAACAGTACAGAAGAAGATGACAGATAAGCATATCTCTGCCCATGCTTAACTGGAAGCTCTTAGAGAAGCATGTTTCCTTGTGAGAACAAAAGGACAGGAAGGACGGAGCCAATCTAATCTCCCTACCAAAGAGTTGCAGAACCCAAGGAAGCCACTGAGAAGGAGGCTCTGTCCCATCTTCCCAGGAGGTAAGACCATGAGAGGAGCGGCATCTCAGGCTGAGCCCAACGAGGGCAGAGAAAACACTTCTTGGAAAAGCTGAGACCCAAGCCATACGGAGCTGTACAGGAAATGACCAGTGCTATTAATTACCCCATCTCTTTAAAAGGTACCCATGTTCTATGTATTTCTGGGAAGTGGAATCCCATCATACAGGTCCAGGCTATCCTTGACCTGCCTTTTGACTGATGAGACGCAATTATCTCTGGCCTCAGCTTGTTCCAGAATTTTCAGAAAACGTGCCAAGACATATGGATGGCCCTCAAAATGGCCAGAATGAACTGAGCTCACCGTCTCCTCTTCCTGCTTCTTCTCTGCCTGACTCAGGAGGAAGCCTTCTGCCAGGGCCACCGCCTGGGAACTGGTCTCTGCCCCACATTCTCTCACCCAGGACGACATCTCCGAGGGAAGGAGTGCCAGGAACTGCTCAAAGACCACCAAGTCCAACATCTCCCCCTTGGTGCGTCTTTCTGGCTGGAGCCACTGGCGGCAGAGAAGGTGCAGCTGGCTGCAAACCTCCCGAGGTCCCAACGTCTCCCTGTAGCCAAAGTCCCTGAATTGCTGGCGGCATAAATCTGAAGTGAGCACTTCCTCCAGCATGCTCTTCTGGGTGGCTCTCTCCTCGAATGCTCCTCTAGGCTTGGCCTGAATGAGGGAAGGGCCCTTTCCCAGGCTGGGCTCAGAAGAGTCTTCCCCTCCCATCTTTTCAGTTAAACCTTGCACTGTTGCCAGGATCTCCTGCAAGGCAAAAGCATTGGGAAAATTACTGAAGGTAGAAAGAAAGGGGCAGGAAAAGTAAGCAAGATGTTTGATGGGGATAAAAAGAAAATGGGGAAAACAACCCCAGTCCCATTTTAGCATATCTCTGTGGCCATAAATGATGTTGCTTTTCAGTCCTTATACACCACTTACAAGATATTTTGGTGTCCAGAGCAAGCAAACAAGGTTATTTTATTTGTCGTGTCAGGGCAACCAGTCAAATTATATTACATTTCTAACAGAACAAAGCAAACAAACAGACAAAATACAAAATTTGTGAGTTTGGTAGTTGATTAAATGTCCTTTGACCAGTATCTGGCCACTTGGAGTGCTTCTGGTGTTGCTGCAAGAAGGTCGCATCTACCTATTATGCTTGGGATAAAGTGTAGTTTATACCAGCAGTTCCCAAACTTTTTCGCTCAGAAGATTTTTTTGTCCTCCCCACGGAACCTTAACTCTGTCCCTAAGCACTGTGAAGCCACAAAGTTATTCCTTTTTTCATCCACTCCTATTGCATGAGTGTTTTGTATAATGTAGTAGGTTTAGAAATTAAGAGAAAACAATGTATTGTTGAGGGATTTTGTGGCTGGAATCACTGGGTTGCTGTTGTTTTTTTGGGCTGTATGACCATGTTCTAGAAGAGAAAACATTTTAAATATAGTGACAAACCTTTAGTTTGGTACAGGAAGTTTTTGAATTCACAGCTAAAGTGATGAACGAACCTGTTTCATTTTGTTTGGAGACTGGGCTTCAAGTCCAGCAGCTGAATATAACAACAACAACAAATAATTTCTTCCCATCAGGTGATGCCATGTTTTTTTGTGAGGGGCTTAACTGCTTCTATAATGTTGAGAGCTGTGCTGGTGGTAGTGTAAACTACCAGTAGGTTCAACCAAGCCAGAGTGGCCTCAACTGAGAAGTTGAACTAAGTGCACCCAACCCAGTTATGGTTAATTATCGCCCAGGATAATAAGGAGCGTGGCGAGTGCTTCTCCTGGGCACCCGTCGACAAGTGGGCTACAGGAACCAGGACCCACTGCTGAGCAACCAGGGCATAGGCCTGTAGGGCAACTGGAAGCAAACAACTACAGAAGCAACAGAAATTTTCAATGCCACAGAACCAAACTGTCATGAACTACTATTATAGATCAGAATCCCAAAAACGTGGATAGCAAAAACGGATGTACCCATTATAGAAACTTAAATATCCAGCAAACTACTCCGGGGCTTCTGAATTCAGACTGACAAGAGTTTTGGAGCACAATGCTCCTGACCTCACTATAGTGTTAAAAAACCAAGTATGGATTGTCGATGTTGCAATCCCAGGCGACAGCAGGATTGAAAAAAAACCAACAACTGGAAAAGCTGTCACAATATGAGGATTTAAAGATCGAACCGCAAAGACTCTGGCATAAGCCAGTAAGGGTGATCCCAGTAGTGATCGGCACACTGGGTGCAGTGGCTAAAGACTTTGGCCTGCACTTACACAATTGGCGCTTACAAAATTACCATCTGTCAGCTGCAAAAGGCCACCCTACTGGGATCTGCATGCATTATTCACCGATACATCGCATAGTCCTAGACACTTGGGAAGTGTCCGACGTGTGATCCAATACAACAACCAGCATAGTGATCTTGTTTGCTGTGTACTCATCTTGTTGTGTCTCAATTAATAATAACTTTATTTATATCCCACCACCACCTCCCCAAAGGGACTCGGGGTGGCTTACAAAGCACTCCAGGGTGCACATATAACACACAACTGGTAAAAACAGTACAAAACAAGTCTGATAAAATTATAACAACAACCCACCCGTCAACACATGTCAAAATCAAAACAATTTTAAAACAAGTACATAAAACTAACTGCCGTCAATTCACAGGTGCCAAGTGTCAGTGTCATATGGGCCCATTCAGCCTACTCAAGATCAAAGGCCTGTCTGAATATCCTGTTTTCAGGTTGGAACGGAAGGACTGAAGGATGGGGGCTAATTTGATCTCTTTTGGAAGGGTGTTTGAGCCGGGGGGCCACCACAGAGAAGGTCCTCTCTCTTGTCCCCACCAACCAAGTTTGAGACGGTTGTGGGCCTGAGGGGAGGGGTTCCCCTGTCAATCTCAGAGCCCACACCAGTTCGTAGAAAGAGATGCGGAGTTGAAGATAGGTTGGACACAAAGCGTATGTAATATATAAACCCAAAGTGGCATCCAAGTTACTACTAATTTTGCTTATGGTGTAAGCATCACCTGGAAAGCCTGATTCTCTTTGATTGATGGACATGAAGGGCAGAAGAGCTCAGATAATCTTTCTGGCTTCTGACAGCTACATGCCTACCAAACCCTACGCAAAAGTCATTCAGTGGCACAGATTCAGATGTTGTTTTTAAAAAGGAGAAATACACTGATTTCAGTAAGATCTTCATATGCTGGTAGAGACTTTTAAAAATTAATAATGATTTTTTGCAGAACCCCTGCAATGTTTTTGCGGAACCCTTGCGTTCCAAAGATCACAGACTGGGAAGCACTGGTTTACATCACTGCGATCCCCATCAAAGGGAAAGAAGTGCAGAGAAGCAGATTCCTGCCAGCATCTGCCACATGAGGCAACCGCTTCATTGGCCTGAATTTCGGGCTTTTTCCAGAGGGTCAAAAGCTCAATGTGCTTTGTCCCATCTCTCAGTTTGAAATAAGCCATGCTGAGAGTCAATTGTGTAGAGCAGTTAAGAGTTCTGGGCTGGAGACATCCTCGGACCCCACCAACGATGGAATTGAACCAAACTTGGCATACAGAATTCCCATGACCAACAGAATATACTGGAAGGGTTAGGTGTGCATTGACCTTGAGTTTTGGAGTTGTACTTAGACCACACTTGGAATATGGGCACCACAATTGAAGGGAGAGATTGACAAGCAGGAATGTGTCCAGAGGAGGGGGACTCAAATGATCAAGGGGCTGGAGAACAAGCCCTATGAGGAGTGGCTTAAAGAGCTGGGCAAGTTTAGCCTGCAGAAGAGAAGGCTGAGAAGAGACATGATGAGGGCCATGTATAAATATGTGAGAGGAAGTCATAGGGAGGAGGGAGCAAGCTTGTTTTCTGTTGCTCTGGAGACTAGGACGCGGAGCAATGGCTTCAAACGACAGGAAAGGAGATTCCACCTGAACATTAGGAAGAACTTCCTGACGGTGAGAACTGTTGAGCAGTGGAACTCTCTGCCCCAAAGTGTGGTGGAGGCTCCTTGTTCGGAGGCTTTTAAACAGAGGCTGGATGGCCATCTGTCGGGGGTGCTTTGAACAGATTTTCCTGCTTCTTGGCAGAAGGGGGTTGGACTGGATGGCCCACGAGGTCTTTTCCAATTCTATTATTCCATACACAAACAAAGAACACAAACAAAGATGGTTGTGGACCAAATTGGCACAAATATCGTGTCATAATTTGTTAGGGTTGAGAGGGGCTTTTTGATTTTGTCATTTGGGAGTTGTGGTTGCTGGGATTTATAGTTAACCTACAACCGAGGAGCACTCCGAGTCCAGCCCACAATGGATCTGCAAAAAATTTGGCACACAGACCCAACATGGCCAACAATATGGAATACAATATACTACTACTACTACTAATAATAATAATATAATTATATATTTTTAAATATGTGTAATATTACTAATAAAATTACAGTATAATATTATAGTACAATAATATAGAATACCTCGCGAAAGCTGATCTGGCCGGGGTGGTCCATGCCTTGGTCACCTCTAGAGTGGACTACTGTAATGCGCTCTACGTGGGGCTGCCCTTGAAAACGGCTCGGAAATTTCAATTGGTCCAATGGGCAGCGGCCAGGATGTTAACTGGCGCTCCTTACAGAGAGAGATCAACCCTCCTGTTCAAGGAGCTCCACTGGCTGCCGTTTATTTTCCGAGCCCAATTTAAGGTGCAGGTGCTTACCTACAAAGCCCTGAACGGTTTGGGACCATCCTACCTGCGTGACCGCATCTCCGTCTACGAACCCACGTTCACTTCGTTCATCTGGAGAGGCCCTGCTCGTGATCCCGCCTGCGTCGCAAGCACATTTGGTGGGGACACGAGACAGGGCCTTCTCTGTGGTGGCCCCCCGACTCTGGAACACCCTCCCCAAAGATCTTAGACAGGTCCCTACATTGGCAGTCTTTAGAAAGAACTTGAAGACCTGATGTTCTGATGTGCCTTCCCAGAATAGGAAATCTCCAATACCCAGAAACACTTTATTAGAATGAAGATTGCCGCACACTGCACTTACCCTAGAATCCTTATATATCACCTGTCACATCAGCACTTTTAATTCTGTACCCATTACTCTGGCCCGGCCCAGTTTTATTGTGTTTTGGTGTATTGTTTATTGTTGTTGCTTAGTTGTCTAATATTTCTTTAATTGTTTTTAATTTGCTTTAGGTTTTATATTGTTATGATGTGTTTTGAGGCCTTGGCCTTTGTAAGCCGCATCGAGTCCTTCGGGAGATGCTAGCGGGGTACAAAAAAAGTTAATAATAATAATAAGGTAATATTATGCGATATTCCTGCTTCTTGGCAGAAGGGGGTTGGACTGGATGGCTCACGAGGTCTTTTCCAATTCTATTATTCCATACACAAACAAAGAACACAAACAAAGATGGTTGTGGACCAAATTGGCACAAATATCGTGTCATAATTTGTTAGGGTTGAGAGGGGTTTTTTTTATTTTATCATTTGGGAGTTGTGGTTGCTGGGATTTATAGTTAACCTACAACCAAGGAGAACTCCAAGGCCAGCCCACAATGGATCTGCAAAAAATTTGGCACACAGACCCAACATGGCCAACAATATGAGTTGCTTTATGAGTTTAAGTGTTGTATTTGTTATGCTGTTGTTTTATTGAGGGCCTTGGTCTTTGTAAGGCGCACACAGTCCTTCGGGAGATGTTAGCAGGGTACAAATAAAGTTAATAAATAATAATAATAAGTAATACAATATAATACTACTAATAATAATATATTATAATTATATATTTTAAAATATGTGTAATATTATAATACAATATAATAATAATAAATAATAATAAGGTAATATTATGCAATATTCCTGCTTCTTGGCAGAATGGGGTTGGACTGGATGGCCCACGAGGTCTCTTCCAATTCATACAAATCATAGAATCAAAGAGTTGGAAGAGACCTCATGGGCCATCCAGTCCAACTCCATTCTGCCAAGAAGCAGGAATATTGCATTCAAATCACCCCTGACAGATGGCCATCCAGCCTCTGTTTAAAAGCCTCCACCACACTCTGGGGCAGAGAGTTCCACTGCTGAACGGCTCTCACTGTCAGGAAGTTGTTCCTCATGTTCAGATGGAATCTCCTTTCCTGTCGTCTGAAGCCATTGTTCCATTGCGTTCTAGTCTCCAAGGAAGCAGAAAACAAGCTTGCTCCCTCCTCCTCCCTGTGGCTTCCTCTCACATATTTATACACGGCTATCATATCTCCTCTCAGCCTTGTCTTCTTCAGGCTAAACATGCCCAGCTCCTTAAGCCGCTCCTCTTAGGGCTTGTTCTCCAGACCCTTGATCATTTTAGTCGCCCTCTTTGATTCTATGATATTGGATTGACTTATTACTTGTAAGCTGGCCTGAGTCCCTCTCGGGGTGGGAAGGGCGCCATATCCATGTGGTAAGGAAATAAACAAAATAACAAAATAAACAAAATAATCCCCTCTCAAGTAGCCGAGCTAAACCAGCTCCCTGGTTCACCGAGGAGCTGGCAGCGATGAAGCGAAGGA